ATGTTGGGTTGGGTTGGTTACATTTTTAACTTTATAATGCTATAACTCATTGAAAAGTGTACGAATCAACACAATTTTTTTATGAGAAATAATATTTTTTAATAATCCCTTTTTCATTCGACATACTTTATCTTAATCAGGGTATTAATAAGAAACTAGCAGATAATGTAGCTTTTGTAATTATCCACCAATTTCTTAGAATTAAACACTATCTACTGATTTGCATCGAAGCGTTTCTTATGATAGTGATTTTAATCACTGTCAGATTAAATCTATACTGGACCCAACTATGCAACATCCCCACTATGCCGCGACCCCACTGTGCTGGGTTTTTTTTTATAGTGATTTTAATCACTGTCAGATATCATTATACTTGATCCATCTATACCACGTCAACACATTTTCTCAGCTCTCACCGAACTGATTTCTTTCAATGATACGTCAAAAGATCACAAATTGTATTTAGTCAAAGACATTACTTTCAAAAATTGATAAAAAATCTCTCGTTCCCCGTAAATGGGGGAAACCTCCAAAAAAATTACAAATTTTAATATCGCTAATATTCGAAATTTTTTCAATATTTTTTACTTAAAATTGCTATAACATTTTCAAAAATGAACAAATCAATATATATATATATATATATTATAGATGCATGATGTCTTTACCTATCATTTGGTCTATTTTTTTTATAAATCTGACTTTTTACCTGCCTACAAAGGGGGATTCAAAATGACAACTTTTTCATAAAAAATTTACTTTTTCAACTTGACTTTTGAAAATGTTCCGGAAAGTCTGACACTTTTATATATATTTTAAATTAAAGCTAATGTAATATATTTTATTATAGGAAAAAAAAATTTCGGACTTTATTTTGTCTTCACGGTGAAAATAGCTACCGAATGCTATTTTTGTGTGAATATTTTCGATTTTATTTTTTACATTTTAAACTTTATAATGCTATAACTTATTGAAAAGTTTATGGATCAACCTAATATTTTTATGAGAAATAATATTTTTTAATAATCCCTTTTCCATTCCACATACTTTATCTTAATCAGGATATTAATAAGGAACTAGCAGATCATGTAGCTTTTGGAATAATCCACCAATTTTTTGAAAGTAAACACTATCTAAAGATTTGCATTGAAGCGTTTTTTTCTGATAGTGATTTTAATCACTGTCAGATATCATTATACTTGATCCAACTATGCTACGTCACTACTGTGCCGCGATCCCCCTGTGCTGGGTTTTTTTGTATGTAATTTGCATGAATTTGACTGTATAATGATTTGCATTTTTTCCGAAGTTCGGAAAAAGTTAAATAATCCTGTTAAGAATTTGTTATTCTTAATTTTTTGTGTGCTTCTTTTTTTTTTTTTAATTAATTTTCTGAGGGATGGATTTGATCATGTGATGTTACAATTTATGTTAGGATTAAATTTAATGTTTGGGACATAAATATCAAAACTATGCAAAATAATTTCATAGAACTTATCGATAGACGAGTTTAAATTTAAGTTATTGAAATGTTTATAATATCTATTTTTGAGAGGTGTGCACCTGTATCACTAAAGAAATATTTCTAGTAGATCTCAAGTAAGCGTGAAATTTTTGAGTTAATATACATGTATAATACATAAGGGATTACAAATACAGGTAGCCAATTGGTTTTTTATGGCATCGTTATTAGCTGGTACACAGCATTGTTATTATCAAAGATTTCAAATTCAAAAATTTTGAAACTTTAAATGTTTATATCTAATGAACAAATAAAGTTATACTAAAAATTCAAATGCTATTTACTATTGAATTAAAATTTCATTAAATTAAAAATATGTGTTACCATTTAAAAAAACAAGGTTGACACCCTTACAAGGCATAAGGATTGAACATAAAAAGTTTTAAATAGTTAATAATTCAAGAATAATGTATAACTAAAGAAAAACAAAAAAAAAAAAATGTTTTAATTATATATATTCTGCAAGTAGTTGAGTGGGTTATGATAAAAAAATCACTCTGTATTGTATTTATCTCAAAATTGCCATTTTATAAATAAACAGTTGTTTAATAATATGGTATAATAATGATAATTTATGGGTTTATTTTTACTTACAAGGACAGTATTATTTGAAATCACAAATACATAATATTTTTAGTTTTTTTATTTTTAATAATTATTAATATTATTGTTTATTAAGAACTAGAAAATATAAAAATATTAAGATATTATTATACATTTTTATTTTTTTGATTAGCATGGCTATTACTAAGTGTTTGAAGCTAGTCTATTACTATTATACCATAAGATAATTAGCTCATGATTTGATATGACCAAAAATTGATATGATAAAAAACAATAATTATAATAAATATAATATAAAATATCTACGATTGTTGTGAAATTGTATTAAACTAACAATTTAGGTATTCTTGAAAATATTTTTAAATGACGGTTGATCATCAAATACTTTTTAATTATTTTTTTTATCAAACAATTAATTTATATAATAAATAACATAAATAACATAAGAATACAATAATTGTATAAAAAAATTATTTTATGTTATGATAAAATTATACATCAGTATAAATGTAATTAAAAATGATGAAAAATCAGCAAACCTATGTGAAGTCACGAGTTTACTTGATTTTAATAGTGAAATTTTGAATGTTTTTAGTTTTATTTATTATTTTAGTTTTTTTAATTATTATTTTACCATAATTTTATTTCTCAATTATGTAAGAAAAAATAAATTTCATATAGTTTTAATAAAATTAATTTTTGATATGAATATAATTATCTTATAATATACAGTTTTAATATAAACAGTAATTTAAGCCATAACATTTCATTTTTTTACGTTAAATGTCTTTGTAACTCAATATTTAGTCAATATTTTAAATTACCTTTGACAATTATAATTTACAAATTTTTAGTAAAATTTACGTTGAATTTAATTTTAGCTCAAAGGCCAAATCTCATTGTCTAACGATACGACAAAAAAAAAAATTAGTCAAAAACTCCCAGTAATAGGTTCTGGTTTAGATATTTTTTTCTATTTTCAAAATGTGCCCAAAAAGCTAATATCTATTAGTCAACATCTTTATTCAAAGCCATTAATAAAGGTATGATCGAAAGCTGGCTCATAACTTTTAAAAGTAAAATCATATATATGTTATGTTTATAAGTATCTTCCTTAAATATTTTAAAGTTATATTAAATTGCTGAAAAAAAAAACGATTATTAACAAGCCCAGAGATATCCCCTTTATACCGTAGTAATAATATATGGGATACTTCACGTCGCCATGAAACGTTATATGAACATCAATGATGTTAGCATTGCTTGACAGATAGTGCTATTTCGCATCTTAAATATAACATTGTACTAAAATATAAGTGTTTTGTAAGAAATTTGTTGTTAATTGGGAGCAAAATATTTAGATGAAATATTATTGTGCATAGTGTGTGCTAAGTTTGCACGTACCAATTAAGGGCTCTACTATTTACAGATGTATACTAAATACTTATTATTCGGTGTAATGATATGTTTAATGTGCAAAATATTCCTCATTATACTGAATAACACAATGTATAGTCTGTAAAAATTTATATAAATAATATATTAATAGTGTAGTAAATAGTTGATACAAAATTTACAACAGTAGTAAGCAATTTTTGAATTCTCAAGCAATACGATAATGTCATACAAATAGGAAATGCAGGATAAGCAAATTAATAATATTGGGAAAAGAGTATAAAAGGTAAACATTAAAAGGATAGGAAGGCTGGACGTTTTATCGAAGAAAGTTACGGGTCGGGATGTTTGACGCGAGTAACTTTGTATTTTGTACGATTTAATTTGTTTTGTGTTGCATTTTTATATTAAATTGTGACTTTGTGTTTATTACGTTTCTTAGATAAAATAACTATTTAAAAACCTGCACGTAGCGTAAATATTTATATCCACCGTGCTGTTAAAATTGTGTGTGTGTGGCTAGAGTCGAGATTGGACTGCTGGTCCTTTAGTCGATCTTAATTATTAGTGTGCTTGCTGGCTAGTTTTTGGCCTTAATCGTCCTTTAGTAGGTATAGTGAAAAGGTAGTTGTGCTGTTGGCTGACAAGGAGCCACCCTTCAGTCTGCTACTTTTGAGCTAGACCGTGCTGACGGTTCTAAACTCTACTCCTTTAGTAGTTCACTAATTTTAGGGATTGGGACAGACCAGTGTATTCAACGGGAGGACTCGAGAAGTGCTAAAAACGGCGAACTCGTCGTCAAAAACATTAGTTAACATGTGTACCAACGTACAACAATAGTAAAAAATGAAAAAAATTTATTGTCTTAATGAATTAAAAGTTTAATGTATTAATTCATTTTAGCAATTAGTCTGTAGAAATTATTTATATTTAAAATTTAGTAAAACAAACTTTACATGTATTTAGCTGACTTCATTTTGGTACATTACGTGTCATATGTTATTGAATTTAAAAAGGTATTAAAAACTTGAATCGATAAATAACGTTATGTTCAATAAGCACTTTTATTAACAATTTATTAAAACTAATATTGACTTTTTTTACATCAAAATCTTCAGTAAAATAAATAACGCAATACTAGTCAGGGCTGAGGAAATTGGCAATATTTGAAAATCCATTGGTTAATAAACTTCACTTATAGTAAAATTAAATTACACGCCCATTGTTAACTGTAAAATAGGCTATGTTCAAAAGTAGGAAATGGACACCCTAAAACTTTAACTGAATCTCTTAAAGAAATTATTCACCATAAAAACGTCACATTTGATAAAAATGAGATGATTTTTTTTTTAGCCATTGCAAAAAAAATTGATTTATTTATGCATACACAAGTTAACATTTTACGTCGTAAAATAAAATTATTATATCGTTTTAGTAAAAAGTTGCAATTTTAAATAAATACATTGTCATGTAGGTTAATATATTTGAAAATATTTCTATATAAAGTACGCAAACATTACTATATTTTATACTTACACATTTTTTAATTTTTAGTATATAATAATTATAAAATAAGTCGTCATTTGTACTTAGGAAATCATTAACTTTCAGTAGTTCCAATATTAAGCAGATAATAATTTCGTATTAGATTACATAATTTTGTAAGTAGACATTTATAATTTTTTTTATATACTAAATTATTTAAATTTGATAAAATTAATAACTTTTGCAATCAATCACCATTAATTATGGACGTAGTAGAATTCTGAGTCTACAGTGGCTCAAATCGTACCACTTTTTGAGACTTTTTAGTGTCACACTTAGTCCTAAGTATGTAATGTTTAACAAAAAAAACCCAGCACATGGGGGTCGTGGCACAGTGGTGACGTGGCATAGTTGGATCAAGTATAATGATATCTGACAGTGATTAAAATCACTATAAAAAAAAAACGCTTCGATGTAAATCTTTAGATAGTGTTTAATTTTAAAAATTGGTGAATTATTCCAGATGATACATGATCTGCTAGTTCCTTATTAATATCCTGATTAAGATAAAATATGTGTTATGGAAAAGAGATTATTAAAAAATATTATTTCTCATAAAAAAATTATGTTCATTCATAAACTTTTCAATAAGTTATAGCATTATAGAGTTAAAAATGTTAAAAAAAAAATCGAGAATTTTCACACAAAAATAGCATTCGGTAGCCATTTTCACCGTGAAGATAAAATATAGTCCGAATTTTTTTTTTTCATGATAAAGTATATTACATTAGCTTTAATTTAAGATATATATAAAAGTGTCAGACATTTCCGGAATATTTTCAAAAGTCAAGTTGAAAAATTAATTTTTTGTGAAAAAGTTGTCATTTTAAAGCCCCCCCGTGGGCAGGTAAACGGTCAGATATAAAAAAAAATTTGAAAGGTAAAGACATCAAACATCTATAAAATATATATATATATTGATTTGTTCTTTTTTGAAAAAGTTATGGCAGTTTTAAGAAAAAAATTTTTAAAAATTAGCGATTTTAAAATTTGTAATTTTTTGGAGGTTTTCCTCATTTACGGAGAACAAGGGAAAAATTTAAAATTTTTGAGAGTAATGTCTTCGACTAGATACGATTTGTGATCTTTTGACGTATCATTGAAAGAAATCGGTGAGGTGAGAGCTGAGAAAAGTGGTAACAGACAAAAAAAAAAAAAACACATCTTAGTAAAACCAATACCTTCTCAGCTTCGCATCGAAGCTAAGAAAGGACGTGATTTATTTTTTTCGCAAATAAGGTATATTAACTTATTTTTAAAATTTTTCTGCCTTTACTTACAAGAGAGAATTAAATCGATTATAGTCAATTTAATTACTTTAACAAAAGGTATTCGTGAATATAATTACGACCTCGAACAGTGTCCAGAATATAAAATTAGCTTGCCTTAATAAATACCTCTTAAGATGTAACCTATAATATAGTACAATATAACGTTTTTATATACTTTTGGATCACTGATTCAAATTTATCATCAGTTTTGAATTTTCGGAGTTATAAAAAAAGATGGAGATAAGAGAGTATGAAAAGTTGATATTTCTTAACGCATAACACATATTGCTTTACTTTAAGATACATTAAGATGTATTTTAATACATTAATGAGAATGGAATTTATATAGTTTTACTATAGTAAATAAATTTATTATAAGCTGAAACTTTTTATTTTTTGTCTGAAAATAAATTATATATAATTAGTATTTAATACTAAATACTTAAGTATGACGTTCAACATTATTAATTAAAATATTAGTAGAAAAATTAACAAATGTTTTAAGTCACTGATCCTCGAATTTAATAAATTTACTATGATTTGTAGTTTTATTAATTATTTATCCCTTAAAAACTCAAATAAATTGTCGTAGTTAAAATTTTCACCACACTTTCTACTCCAAAAATATCAGTTTTAACATTCATAAGTAGTAGTTAAAGTGAAGATGGACGGAGGGGACTCTGTCCCCCTTCTTATTAGAAGTACAATCTAGCGTAATCTTTGAGTTGTATCCCAAAATGCTAGGGAGACCGCTTTAATTTTGAGAATTGAAGAGTTAGTAAGCGATAATATAAGAAATTCATGAGGTCTAAATTGTTTAAAAAAAAAAAATAATTTTAGTAGAACTTTAAACTATATTTGTCATTTCATATTTTTATATGTAGATAGCTACCTAAATTGATTACTGTTAATATTTTTTTCTGAACTTGTTTCTGTTATAGTATAATATTTAAAAATTAAAAAGACTGTTTTTAATTTATTTTCATAATAAATTAAAATCTTTATAATGACTTTGTGATGACGCTCTTCATTTTTTAGAAACTATAATCCCACTCCTAGTGTGTTACAACTTTAACGTTTGTTAAAAAGCAAATAAATTCTTAAAAGTTATAACTACAAACTTATTACAATACACTTATTAATATTTACATAATACATAGTGTATTTAAAAATTAAATAGACAACCTATACACTAAATACTGACAAAATAAATAACGCGCATTAATAACTGAATACTGTAAATTTTATATATTTTAAATACTTATTAGGGATTTTTTAAAGGTTCACGAACTTATTTATTTTGTCACACTTTCAATGATAAACCTATCTTATAATAAATTATTTCAAATAAATTTGATAAAGGTAGATAATGTCAATTTATTTTATTTTAAGTTACTTCTCAATTATATTTTAAACATAATTGTTGAAATTTTAATTAAAATGTAGTGTAATAATTTATTTTACTGTTAAGTAGAATATTTATAATTTATACTGATATAGTATTACAAAATAACATGTGAACTTTTTTTTGGGGGGGCTCTCACGCAATGGTCAGTGTCGCGTGAGTATGTTATAATCGTTGTTTTTTACTTTTTACTGCATTAATTTGTTGTAATACTCTTGTTTAGACAGTAGTTAAATATTATTTTTAACTCCTTCCTTTTACTAATAATATAATATAAGCATAATACAATATTAAGTAGCCATTTATAGAATTTAACAAGGTCTAGAAACCATGACATCGAGGGGCCTAAATTTAAGCTAAAGAGAACTAATCTATCCCAACCCCAAATTAGTTATGCCAACACCATTAATACTGACTAATCCTCGAATAAGATTATTTTATATTGAAATAGTTGATTTTTCTGTAATCTTTTTTTTTAATTATTTATTTATATAAAGGTGTCCCACAGTAATTTACTAATTTAAAAAAAAAATTCATTTAGTAGTTAAAAATTTAATGTATCTTATAATTAATATGTTTACAGATTATTGAATTGCCATGGAATTCATAAAAAGTTTGATAAGCTGCACTTTTGTAATAATGTTTCATGAATTCAATTCTATGGCCAATTCAAGGGAAGATTTAATACAAAGTAAATTTTTAAATTTTAAAATAATAATTTTTAACAATTTTTTATAAAAAATTTTGAGAATAAATTTAATTTTGATTAGCTGAAAAATAAGAAAACGGGAGTTACTACCTAATAGTTGCAAATATCAATTTGTAGAAGCTTTAAATTATCTTTAAATTTGACAATATAAATTTAACGATTTGTCTTTAAATAAATTGTATGTGATTTATAAGTAAGATGCTAAATTATTTGAGCATACATTAAGATTAAAATAGAAGTATAAATACTCATTAAATTATTTTAAAAATTTAAGCCTTTCATTGTTGTTTCAAAGTACGTTTAATTGATTATTCATCTAGCTTCTTTAAGCTTAGATAAATTTAAAAGTCATATGAATATAAATAAAGTAATAGAATTTTTACATTTTATTACTTGTCAAAAAAAAGCTAATTATGTAAATTCTAAGATCCTTAAAACCCTATATTTTTAATTATAACAAAAACTAATAGATTAGCCTGACTATAAGATTATTAAAAAAGTCCTAAAAAAATCAATTTTTTCACACTAATAATTTTTAAATTATTAAAAAAAATATATAAATAATGTTGAGTGTTTAATATTTTATATGCCACATTACAAAAACCAACAAACTTTTAAATACATGCAATTATATTTTGTGTGATTTTAATATAGAATATAATTGAACAAAAAGTTAATTTGTATTTATATTATCTATTTTTGAGTATCTACATCGTGTATTATACATGACACGTAATAAAATGTAATAAAAAAATTATCATACATAACACATGTAGTAAAAAAAATATTATTCCAGAGGTGACCTATCAACTGAAAATGACAAGTGAGTATATTGTTACATTATAATTTATTAATTTCATTTGATTAGACTGTTTGTTATAAAGAATAAGTCATAATTTATTTCAATAGGCAAGGGACAGATTGAATTAAATTAATTAAAATGTACTCTAATTTTTCCATTGTTGTTATTAATAATTCAAACAAAAAAAACCCAACACAGAGTGGTCGCGGCACAGTGATGTCGTGGCATAGTTAGATTAAGTATAATGATATCTGACAGTGATTAAAATCACTATATAAAAAAAAAAGGCTTCGATGCAAATCTTTAGATAGTGTTTAATTTCACAGCTGACACTGGCCACTGATAAGGGGTCTAATCGCCGATGCATAAGGTGGAAGTTCTGCCAGCCACCAAACTCTAATAAATTAAATTCAAATTTGGCGCCTGGTGTAAACAGTCCTTAATCTTAATCTTATTATATAATAGAACATATTATGATAATGGTCTTGGTCCTAGAACATTTTTCTAGAACTAATACATTTTTTAATTTTTGGTACATAACACGTTGTTGATTTCAATTATTCAAGTATTAATTAAAATTAAAATTTTATATTTTATCATAAATTTTTTACTTTTTTAGATATTTTGTTAGAACAAGCAAATAATAATCCATGTATGAAAGATGATAAGTTATATTTTATACAAAGTTTTTTATTTACTTTATTAAAATTTAATTAAACAAAAATAAGTTTAAAATTACACAGAGTGGCACTTTAATCACTTAAACTAGTTGGTAAATTATATTCACTGTGATATCTGATCAATTTATTGCGGGCAAATCATGTCGGTCAATTTATTGCGCTGGTTAATTGATCACGATTTTAAATTACCTAAATAATTTAAATTTTATTTTATAAAAAATCCTCTTCCCTCAAAAAATATTAACTACATTTCTAAATATATTTAAAAATTCATAAATTGTATGAAAGTAAATTCCCCTTTCCTCATCCTAATTCCCCAACAATAATAATGTTAAATGTTATTGAAATATTTTTTGGTAAAATCAATGAAATTATAAATGATTTCATTCCATTAGACATAATTACACAAATGAAAAATTAACACATCATAAATTAAATTAATATGATGATATCTATAATGATTCTATATCATTCTATTTCTAGACTTTATCGAAAACACATTGTTAAATTATTTACTGTACTTAACCATTTTAATACATTTACTGAATTTGACAATTTTTTAATAACTGACTATTACTGAATACTTATGTATTTTATTATTATCACAAATATAAAAAACTGTTTTTTATATTATGAAAGTCATAATATTAATTATATTTATTAAATAAAATATACTAAAACATTTAGTTTTGGTAATTATCAAAGCGTATTTAGTAATAATTATTTATTAAAAATAAATATTGAATTTCAGTAATGAAATGCAGTGGCGTGATACGATTACTTTATCGGGGGGGTTTATTTCAAATTAAATTTTTGACTAATTAATATTTAAAGATATATTTTTTTATTTAAAATTAATTCATAATATAATTAACAAAATGTAAAAAAATAATTTTAAATCGTACCTCTACTTTACTTATAAATAATTTTTTTTTTGGTTCTTGCGGGGTTTAAGTCCCCTAAACCCCCCTGTATCTACGCTACTGAATAAATATGACCAATGATAAATTGACCGCCATTCGTTTAATGTAATGTTTTATTTTTTATTTTTCTCTTTGTTAAAATTTAAGGTTTTCTAATTAAAGAGTCAAGTGTGATTATAATAAACGAATTTCGCAAACTATTATTAATATATATTTTTATTACTGTTGTTTCAATTTAACAGAATTTCCTTATTTAAATCAAATTTTAATATGCATCACAAATTGTGATTCACAATGATAATCAATTATTTTTGTTTTTTTTTTTTTTGTAAGAACCTAAAATTATATTTAAATTTTTCTCAGGTGTTAAGAATCGCACCGCAATTTCGGAATAAATATAAATGAGTGATTTTAGTATTTTCATAATAAAATTAATTACATTAAATCATTAATTAATGTAATTTTAATTTCTCAAAAAATAAATCTTTACAAATAACATGTTTATAAATAGGCAATTTAACTATCTTATAGGTAAATGTAAATATATCAAAAAGACCTACTAAATTTTAAATAAAGTAATATTAATTGATTTGTCAGGTTTCTATAAGAATAATATTTAACTACATAAAAAAAAATATTGTATATCATTTTGTATGAATTTGAATGAAAACAACTAACCAAGAAAAGTTTGTTTGGCACTTATTTAGCACGTTTTTTTTTTTCGTGGTTTTTCCTTAACAAGCTGAAACAAATTAGTATATTTATTGGAAAAAACATATTAATTTATAGAATATGAAACCTCATATCAATATCAATTTATTTTGAATTCATAATACTAGTATTGTTTATAATTACCTATATTCATGATAATTTTTATTTGAACCTAACTTATTGGATTTTAGTAAAAAATAAGAATTTCTCTATAAAAACTAAAAACACAAAATAAAAATTCCACCACATCACATTTTCTATACAATTTTTATACAAATAGAACGGCTACTGGATTTTTTTACAAAAAGTGCAACGAACAAGTAGTACATTTTATGCCGAATTATTTGGATAGTGTTTTATAAATAAAATAAGTCTGTATACAATGTATGCAGATTTATTGCTGTATATTATACAATAAAACCAAAAATAAAAATTCTTGCTAAAATAACCTCAAGTATTTCAGCTTTACAAAATATAAACTGATTTTTTTGCATTAGATTTGAAAGATACGTTCATTATGATTCTAAATGATTATGTACTTAAAAAACACGAACCTCGTAAGTATTACATGATGTTATATATTTATGTAAATTAAAATTTTACGTCCAATTCAAATTTAAATATACTATTAAGTCGTTTTTTGCAGAAGATTACATGATTTTGTGTTTATCTCATTTGTATAATTTTAGTTATCATATTATAATAGGTCACAATTTCGCTTAAAATCACTAATGTTATTACTAGTTAATAAATTAAATACTATTTTTATTTAAATAAATTCATACAAATTGAATATTTCAGCCTAGCTAAGTACACAAAATGATTATTAAGGTTACTACACTTCATAATTCTGTTAAATAATAATTATTTAATAAAAATCTAAATAATAAAATGAAATTTATTTTTATGGACTATAGTAAGTCATTTTAGCTATTAAGTATAAGGTAAACAATTTCTATAAACATGAGAAAACTTAAATTAATCACAGATATACATGTTAAGTTATAAGTTTCTATTTAAATAAAACTTTAAAGTATCAATAAATAAAAGCATGTAAAATAATAAAATTTCAATTAAGTAATAGTAAAAGTAAAATTACAGTAATAATGTATACAAGTATAANGTTGAATATATTATCAATATAATTTTTTAAATATTATAAATATATATCTTGTTGGCCAACTGAGGTAACTTAAGAGACACAAGCCATCCTCTTTTCTCCCTTTAGTTATATCTTTGGATGTTATTGGTATCTTGTTATATAATACTTATGTATTATATATACATATTCCTAAATCCTTAGTAAGTAAACAGCCATTTTCTCTAATTAGTATCAATTTTAATTAACTTAATTCAATTAAGCTAAGTCAGTTAGGTACAGTAAAGAACCCTTGTTGCTCTTATTTGCAGGCCTATCGAGTTAAAATTTTTTTAGTTTTATCAGCGCAATTATATCTTATTATTGTCCTGTGAAACTTAAAATCCTAAAAATATTTTTATTATAGTTAGAATATATTTCTATATTATCAACAATAAAAGTCAATTTCTAACTTACAAGGAGAATTCATGGTGATGGGATCGTCTATTTTAAAAAAAATTATATGAATCTAATCTAAATTGAATATAGAGTTGTATTTACTTTGAGTTTTTTTAAATAGGAAAAATGACTTAACAGACAAATAACCATTTGAACCAGCTTAAATAGCCTTTTTTATCCTCTTACGGTAGTAGCATCCTGTGGGTCAATGGATAACGTACGAGTCCAAAGCGCTTGAAGTACGGGGTTCGTATCCTGCGTGAAGGTCTCTACTTTTTTGCATTTTTTTAATATATTTATAAAACATTTAAAAAATATTGTCACAAAATATTTTTTATAATATTTTAGAAACATAGCTTTAAAATATTGTGAGAATATTTCAAAATATTCTGGTTATATTCTAGAAATATTTTAATATCAAAAATAAATATTCTAGGAATATTCTAGAAATATTTCATTGCTATGTGGGATTATAAAGTTAAAAATATAAAAAATAAAATCGAGAATTTTCACACAATAATAGCATTTGGTAGCCATTTTCACCGTAAAGATATAAATAAAAGTGTCAGACATTTCCGGAACATTTTCAAAAGTCAAGTTGAAAAAATTAATTTTTTGTGAAAAAGTTGTCATTTTAAACCCCCTCCCGTGGGCAGGTAAAGGGTCAGATATAAAAAAAAAATTACCAAATGAAAGGTAAAGACATCAAACATCTATAAAAAACATATATATATTGATTTGTTCATTTTTGAAAAAGTTATGGCAGTTTTAAGAAAAAAATTTTTAAAAATTTTGAAAATTAGCGATTTTGAAATTTGTAATTTTTTTGGAAGTTTTCCTCATTTACGGGGAACAAGGGAAATATTTTCAATTTTTGACTAGATACGATTTGTGATCTTTTGACGTATCGTTGAAATCGGTTAAGTGAGAGCTGAGAAAATGTGGTAACAGACACAAAAAAAAAACACATCATAGTAAAACCAATACCTCTCAGCTTCGTATCGAAGCTAAAAGTCGCAGGAAACAAAAATTATACAGTCTACGTTATACCAAAAAAGTTTACGTGTGAAAAATAATCAAGTGATTTGACACTTTTATATATATCTTAAATTAAAGCTCATGCAATATACTTTATCATGAAAAAAAAAACTTCGGACTTTATTTTATCTTTGCGGTAAAAATGGCTACCGAATGCTATTTACGTGTGAAAATTCTCGATTTTATATTTTACATTTTTAACTTTATAATAAATTATAAATAAAAATAAAAAATTATATTGTGAGCATATTATGAAAATATTTCAATAGAATATATTTTTTATTATATTTATGAGATATTGTCACAATATTTTATTCAAAATATTTTAAAAATATTTTGTAAGAATATTTTGACAATATTAATATGTTGAAATTGCTATGTGGGATGCTATAACTTACTGAAAAGTGTATGGATTAACACAATTTTTTTATGAAAAATAATATTCATATCCCTTTATCATTCAAAATACTTTATCTTAATCAGGATATTATTAAGGAAATATCAGATCATGTAGCATTTGGAATAATTCACCAATATTTAAAATTAAACATTATCTAAAGATTTACATCGAAGCGTTTTTTTTTTATAGGGATTTTAATCACTGTCAGATATCATTCTACTTGATTTAACTATGCCACGTCACCACTGTGCCACGACCCCCATGTGCTGGGTTTTTTTACTTAAAATTGCTATAACTTTTTTAAAAATGCAATGTAATATATTTTATCATGAAAAAAAAAATTTCAGACTTTATTTTATATTCACGGTGAAAATAGCTACTGAATGCTATTTTTGTGTGAAAATTCTCGATTTTGTATTTTACATTTTTAACTTTAATATGGTATAAGTTTTTGAAAAATGTATGGATCAATACAATTTTTTCATGAGAAGTAGTATTTATATACATATTTTATTCGACTTACTGTTTTTTTAAATTTCTCCTAATACAGAGGGGGGTTCAAAAGATAAAAATGCATAGAAAAGTAGAACTTTTGCAACTTACATTTTTAAAGTGTTCCGGAAAGTCTAACACTTATATATATCATAAATTAAAGCTAATATAATGTACTTTATTATACAAAAAAAAAAGTCGGATTTTATTTTGTGTTCATTGTGAAAATGGCTACCGAATGCTATTTACGTGTGAAAATTCTCGATTTTATTTTCTACATTTTTAACTTTATAAAGCTATAACTTACTGAAAAGTGTATGGATTAACACAATTTTTTTATGAGAAATAATATTTATATCCCTTTATCATTCAAAATGCTATATCTTAATCAGGATATTATTAAGGAAATATCAGATCATGTAGCTTTTGGAATAATCCATCATTCTTTAAAATTAAACACTATCTAAAGATTTGCATCGAAACCTTTTTTTTTTATAGTGATTTTAATCACTGTCAGATATCATTATACTTGATCCAACTATGCTACGTCACCACTGTAATGTGAACCCCCTGTGCTGGGTTTTTAATTTTCAAGTAGTATAAAATAGTTTTACGATATAATTTGAATAAAATTGTAATTATTACATTTTTTTTATTGACATTTTACACAACAAATATCATTTATCAGCAAAATTTATGTAATTTATTGTGAATAAATGCGAAAAAAATTTGTCTATACTTGTTTTGTAATAAACAAAAAGAAAGACCGGCGGAAGGTGGCAAAGGAATGTTGTTAAATGTGTTTGGGGTTCGGGGTGTGAAAGGGAAGAAATGTAAAGAAATGTAACACAGGTGGCCAATAAGGAAATAATAATCGTAGCGGGCGTAGTGTAAAAAGGATGGGTACCAATGGAAAGTAAAAGTGTCTATAGATACCCGGTAGTGACTACAATAAAATAAAATAGAAAGGGATCTCGGGGTATGTATGCTTATGTAAAGACGTCAAATGTATGAATAAGATGAAATTACAAAGAAGGGTCACTACCTAGCTCCTGCACAGAAACGCGTGCACTAATTTCCGGCTAGTCACAAGTATCGTGTTTCTTATAAAAATATTTTAGTTTATTCTCAATGACTTATCCTATTCTAATTGTTTATTACTAAAAAATTCTTCAGTAAAGGATCTATTATAGACTTATTATGTAAACAAATGTTCCACTTACCTCTGATTATCCTGATATTCTCTTGAGATGAACGATGTTGTTGATGTAACAATTATCGATGTATACGTTCACGCATTAATGTACGCAATTATATTTATACGGTTTATATTATTATTAACTCGCGTGTAACTACTTTTCTAGTACAATTCTATATTAAATCTACCCAAGGTGAAATCTAAGTTTGTTATAACTCTGTCTTTTTGCAAAAACCTTTTGTATATTTATGTAGTATAGTTCTTAACCTTGTATATGATGTTTTACGTTAATATATTTATTATTTAATAATTTATAAAGCAAATGAATAACTTCTAAGCAACATAACTGTCCTGTGCAACAAAACTATTTCCAAGTGGCCTACGTCTTTCAGTCGTCCAAATAGTGATCTAGGGTAGATGCGAGCTCAATTTCAGTTCTTTGCACAATAGATTATACTAGTGTCCTACACTCCGATTACCGGCACTGTGGCATAGATCAGACTAGCTGGTCGATAAGTGGAGAGACACTTTTAGTTGTTTAGTATGATGTTAGTTATAAATATATATTAGTAAAATATTAGTTTTTAGTATAATATTTCGACTCTGATTTATTTGTATTTCGTAGCTGGATATACCAACGCGAGATCTCAAATAATATCTTTGTCTTTATGCAAAGAACCTTATGATATGTGGCCTACTTCTTTTCAATCACCTGTAGGACGACCTAGGTTAGATGCGACTGTACTATAGTTTTATGCACGATAAGTTATGTTAGTGTCCTACACTCCGATTGCCCGCACTGTGGCAGAGATCAGACTAGCTAGCCGATAAGTGGAGAGACACTATGAAGAAATCTTATGGTTAACTAAAAT